AGCACGCAGATCTTGCAATGAGCGAGCACAGAGCCTGCCATGGGTGCAGAGCCCATGACGAGCGCACGGAGCCTGCCACGAGCACCCAGATCCCAAGGCGAGAAGCTCCAAGGCGCCGCGAAGCCGCCGGCCGCGCGCGCCCTGCRCCCAGCACAGCCCGGCATCCGCATCCCGCTCCAGCTCGGCCAGAGGAGATTTAACACRCCGTTTGCAAAGTAATTAAATCCAGCCCTATAAAGCGGAGTGTTTAACAGCTCTGCTTTTTGCAGAGCGCTGCAGGAACCTGATAAAGATGCAGTCAGGCTGCTGCAATAAGCAGGGGCTGTTCTCCGCTCCGCTACTGGGGGCGGGCAGGGGGTCCCATTGTAATTTGGAGGGATTTCCGAGGACGCGTCGTGCTGAGCAGCACGCAGGGGATGAGTGTGGCAGGAAGCTGTGAGCGGCACGTGCCCTTCGTGCCCCACTTCCCGGAGGGCTCGGGAGGCAGCGGGCACCTCTGCTGTGCCCCACGCGGCAGCGCCCGCTCCGCAAATCCCGTTATCGCAGCCGCTACCCTGCTCCTTTCCGCGCGGAGCCGCCGGGAAAGCGGCCGTGCCCAGCTCCCAGCTCCGGGCTGTGTTTCCGTGTCACCAGCTACAGAGACATTTAGCGTTTATACCCATCATCTTCCTGCTCTGTGTTGTTTTTAGCACTACTGAACACAAAGCCATGGGGATGTCCCCTCTCCGGGAGCTTTGGAAGCAGCAAAGCGGGAATGGGCGGCACTGATGGAGGCTCCCCAGAGCCCCCTTCTCCTCCCCACGATTGGGGCTTCTGCAGCACACACAGGCTGCGTTTGTGGCGCATCCCCCGTGCAGGATTGTCCTGACGGGGCAGCTGGGGGACACACAGGAGACCCCAGTGTCCCCCCGAGTCCCGTCCCATCCCCACGCGGGCCCCTCGCGAGGGTGGCCCGGGTCCCGGGATGCAGCTGCTGCCTCCCTGCTCGGGCTGCTCCGTGGCTTGCCGCGTGGATCCGCATCCCTACCTTCTCCAGGGGCCTCRCTGCTGTTCTTCGTGGGAAAGGCTCCGCTCGCCGCCCCGCGCTGCAGCTGCGGCGCCGCGGCCGCTCTTGGCAGGAGCGCGGAGGCGGAAGGGTCCCCAGCGCGGAGCAACAAGGGCCGCTTCATCCCGCAGCTGCAGGAGCCGCCCGCCGCGGAGCATCGCCAAGGGGAGAACACAAACGCAGGGAGCAGCGAGGCTCCCGCCATTCCCGAGCCCGTCCGGAACGCAGCGGGTGTTTGGAGAAGGTCCCCCCAGGAGGAATCCCAGGGAAGGATCCCCGTCCTGGGCTGCCCGAGACGTTCCCCACTTGGCACCTGTGAGAAAAGCCGCCTCCAAGTCCCCAAAGCCACCGGCCTGTCCCCCCGAGTGTCCTTGGGGTACACGCAGGGATGAGCCGGGAATCCTGCAAGGAAAACAGCTGCTTTTGTGACCTGCTCCTGTGAAACTCCCGCCCCCTCACCTGTTTGGGCCCTGGACATGCAAACGCTCGAGTTTCTACCTACGAGYTTTGAAAACCTGAAAAAGCAAAAGCTTAATTTTCTTTTCAAGATTATTTTTATTTYTTTTCCCCTGTGCTCAGCACCACAACCGGAAAACAGCTCAGAACATCAGAAGCGGGAGACGTCCCTCAGCCACGCTCTCCGCTCCGCTTCCATCGCCATTCCCGACCTTGCAAACCGGCTGCAACGTGCAGGTGCCGGAGCCCTGCGCGAGGGCAGCGACGAAAACGCTTCTCCCACGCGGATGGGCTCCTTGTTCCCCTCTTCCCTCCAAGTTGTATTTCTCGTTACACCCRGACGTGCCAGGGTGGCTTTGCTTGGGACCTGCCACTCGATCCCGCTTAGCGTCGCGATGTTAAACCAGCTCCGAATGGCAGCGCTGCCTCCAGGCTGGGCCCTTCTCCATCCCAACACGTTTCCCCATCCCCGTCTCCAGAAGCGGCAGGGATAAAGGTGCAGGGCAGAGGCTGCAGCGCGGGATGCGTCCGGAGCGGCGCACGAGTCACTGCCACCTGCCGGCAGCGAGGCCCCCCCGCCGCAGGCTCCCCGATTCCGCCCCAAATATTAAGGTTAATATTAATATTAGCCATTCCCTGCGCGGCACCYGCTGGGATGCATCTCCAGAGGCTCCGCTGCCGCTTCCTCCTGGAGCGGCGAACAGGGCAGCCGAGAAGCATTTTGTAAACGGCAGGAAGGAGCAGCGCTCAGGGCATTCCCGAGGGATGCGGAGGCACCACACAGCCCCAAAGCGCTTCTCCATGCCCRGCTGCCAGGCATCCCTGTAGCTCTCCCATTCCCACACGGAAAACCCATCAATTCCCTGCGATCTTTATGTGACTGTGCTGGGAGGCCACGTCACCGGCACCGAGGGAAACGCCGGTTCCTGCTGCGGTTCCCCCTGCGGAAACAGCTCCTCCTCCAAGCGCTCGGTATTCCCAAAACACGGAGCTCCRTGATGCTGGTGCCGATGGCCCGAGGTCACCGTAATTCCAGGCCACGGGAGCTGCCGCCGGCTCCGTTTGCAGAGCCCAGGTGCTACCGGCTGCTTTTTAGGGACGCTGGATGAGCCGAGTTAATCACGTGGAGTTAATCACGAGGAATGGCGGTCCGTGCAGGAGGGCCCTCGGAGCGCTCTTCCAAACGGACATCATGGAAAAGGGAAGTTCCGGGTTCCCATCTCCATTCAGGACACAGGGTCTTAGTCCTCCTTGGCAGGAGCAGCGATTGCCGGTATTCCCAACAGGAGGGAGCCGCAAGGCAGCTGCTGCCATCCCCAGCTCGCCTTGGGGCGACTTCGTTCTGAGAACAAAAAACAAACCAACCCAAACAGCTGCTATGGGGGAATTCTCCAGCCTTTAATGGCCCTCTTCAGTTACTCTTAGCACCCTAAGGATAGCCACAAGCTGCAAAGGTTGAACAATTACCTCCCTTTTCCYGCTAAAAGCACCTGTTTCCACATTCCTTTCCACATTCCTCACCCACAGCCCCTGGAAAGGGGATGCTGGCAACACCTGGAAATTTCTTTCTCCCGTTGTGGCTGCTTCACCACATGGAGCGTGCGGAGGAGCTGCCGGCACCACGCCGGGCTCCGAAGAGCCGCCTGCTCCCAGGGCAGCTCCCCCGGCGCCCGCCCGCGCCCCTGCACGGAGATGGGGGGACAGTGGCAGCGGCTATAGGCCCTGCTCCGGGCCGGGGAATGGCGGGGGCCCCGTGGGGGGGAATGGCGGCCCTGTGGGGGGGAATGGCGGCCCTGTGGGGGGGAAAATGGCGGCCCCCACGCGCCTCGACCCCGCGCGTTGCGTAGCAACAGAAAGGCGCCAACTTCCCCCCTCCACGCGCTTATATAAGGACTGGCCCGCCCCTTCCGCCAGYCCTCCCTTCTCATTGGCTGTCTCATCGAGGATTGGCGTGAGCGCCCACCACTGATCTTGCTCCACGAGCCTCTCCCGCGCCGGGGGCGCGGCGCTATGCGGAAGACGCCTCGGGAAGCCGGGAGCAGAGAGAGGGCGGGACGCGGAGGTGAAGCGCCAATGAGAAAGGAGACGGGGCGCCGCTGAGCCAATGGCAGCGCGAGGAGGGCGGGGCGTAGGGGGAGGTGGGGCCGTGAAGCGGCAGCCGGCGGCCGGCGGGTGAGGGCGGCGGCAGAAGTGAGGGGCGGG